GAAGATAGAATATAATTAGAATAGAGAGTGCTAGAGTTAGAGGCTATTTTTAAAAGATAAAAGTCAAAAGAATAAAAAAAGAATAGAGAGTGCAAGTGTTTTTTTCTTCTTCTTAGAATTAGAATAGAGAGTGCTATAGAATTAGAATAGAGAGTGCTAGAGTTAGAGGGTCAAATGAAGATGGAAGATATATGTTTTTAGCAGTTCAGTTCTATTCTTTTGTGGAAACAAGAGTCAAAGCATGGATTTTTAAGAATTATTACAGCTGTAATATAACATCTGTCCTCTGGTTTGCCTTCGCAAGTATGCGTTTCCCACAGTGAGCCTTCTGGCACAGTTCCTGTGCAAAGTCAGGGAGGACGAGGAGCAGGTCCTGCTGGTGGCGCCCTATTGGCCTACCCGGACCTGGCATCAAATAAGACTTTAAGGTGTTAAGTTAATCATCCCTCCTATAACCTGATTTACATTCAGGTATCATAACGTCTCTATAAATACGATTCCCACTCTACTTCTTCCCAAGATCTCTGGCTCTTTCGGTCGCGGCCGCTACGGCTCCTATCTCTCTACTATCTCTGAATCCTCCCTTCTCCAGCGCGTGGATGCCGTGAATTGTGGTCCCTCCAGGCGTGCAAACCTCGGCCTTCAGCTCTGCCGGGAGTGTCCAGAATCACGCAGTAACACGCCAGATTTCTGCATTTTCTGTCAAACTGCAGTTACGGTTTATTAGGAGATATAATGGTAGGCTCTGGCGTTCAACCCAGCTACCATAAAATAATTGTAAAAATTATCAAACAAATATTATTTCTTTAATTTATGGGAAATATAAGTTTGTTAAAATTCTGTTTATGGCAAAATAGAAAAGAAATTAAAAAATGTTTTGCCTAATGGCAAAAAAATAACAAAATGGTAACAAAAATTTGGTTAGGGGAAAAATCAAACAAACAACTTTTTAATTAAATTAAATTCAGTTTTTTAAACTGTAGACATAGTAACAAATAGTTTGTAGTAAAAAAACTGCCAAAAAAAAAGAAAAAAGAAGCCAAATCTGGGTTTTAAACCATAGATATGGTAACCAAAATTTGGTTGCTAAAAATTACCAATGTCATATTAAAAATAAACCCTCATTACTGCATATTTTATTTGAGATGCTAAGGTTGACAATCAATATTTGATTAATTTGCAAAAAAACTGGAACGGCTTCAGGGGATGACAGTCAGCGGAAGTGAGAAAAAAGTGTTTATTACATTTGAGATATGGATATTTTTCTTACAAAAATAAAACACATGGATTCACTACAGGGGGCCTTTATTCATCCACCGTTCAACTGCAACACCCGCTGACTGCAATGATGGAGCTTGGAAGAGCCAGGACAATTTTTAATATAACCCCGATTGGATTCGTCTGAAAGAAGAAAGTCATATACACCTAGGATGCCTCGAGGGCGAGTAAAACATTTAAATTTTTGGGTGAACTAACCCTTTAATCTTTAATCTAGAAGATGTAAATAATAACATATTTGTCTCACTGCAATCATTTCCAGAGTTATATTTGTGTTATTGCAGAGTTCTTCCAAAATATTAATGAAAAGAAAAAGTGTCAAAGCTTTTGATAGGTAAATAAATAAAATGGCTCAACCATAATGAGTAAAATTTATTCTGGCTTCAAATTCTGTCAGTAAAGATACGGAGACAGCGCCCAATGGATTTTACACAGTGCTAAATTAAAGTAGTTCAATTGTAGTAAAATTATAATTAAGCTTCACACCTCAAACAAAGTCTAAAGTTGCCTAAAAAAATTAAAATTATTTAGAAAAAGTATTATAGAGCTTAATATAGACATGTAACATGATTTGGAAACCCCATAATATTACCAAAATTCTGCAAAAAGGAGGAGACATTAAGCATTATTATTCAAAATACAAATTTATTTTTAAATATACAGTATAGTATTATTAGGAAATACACCCAGAAAATAACTTTCTTTGGTGACAGACCAGTAGAACTGAATATTGTTTGCATTATTGAAACATTATTTTCCTGTTTAACACTGTAAAGCTTCTTTGACGTTACCTGTATTGTATAAAGGGCTATATAAATAAAAGTGACATGACATGACCAGTAAAAAACTAAAATGCACAGCACTGATCACAGAATAGATCCAAAAAAGGTATGTTTTAGAAAAACTTGAAATAAACATGAAAAGGGAGGTAAAAACGAATGATTTTGACTTTATTTATTATTTAAACATTTTATTTAAAAAATAATATACACATATATGTATATATATATATATATATGTTTTAAAAATGATGTTTACAAAAAAAAAAAAAAATTGTTG